TCTATGGGCAAATGCCGCCTTGGCTTTGACATACGACGCTCTGCTCACAGTTGGCAGTGATGTTAAGCGCACTCTGTCAGGCGTCGGGAGCATGGGTCATGGTATGGGCACGGCAGCTCACACATACGCGTATAGGATTGCCGAATGTGTGGCCATAACCGATACATCGAGTCGCGTCGTGCATGCAAGTCAAACGCAACCTAACTATCCACAAGCCACACCTCATGCTTACATTCTCACAGCTGATGAGCCCATTTTGTATTCAACCCATCTTCATCGCAAGGTAAGAGTGATACGTGATATCTTGCGGCCAGAAGAGGGATGAACATATTGACCTAAGCGAATGATAGCCTTGTCCTTCTACGCAGTACGGATGCAGAATGCCCTTCTAGACTCGAGACGCCGCACAACGGTGGCTCGCGCAAGAACATTCGGGATAAAGTGTATCGAGGAGAGTTGAAGATGCTTGTTGGTGTCATGCTCAGGACGTACCATTACTGGACAGGTATCGCCTACTTCATGCAGACTCTACAAGAGATGGCAGCAGGTGAGGAACCGCCGTCATATGATGGGCACTGGGATGACGATACGGCACAGCGAGAGGTTTCACTCTCTACGACGCGACCATACGCGCTGGGAACCCGAGCATTATGCTGGAGGACCACGGTCTATTGCGTCGATTTTCCACTCGAGATATGCTTCCACACAACACATCCCCACCTACGGAGACATCTCTATATGAGAGCATAGCAGAGGAGTATCTACAGGCATGGATATGGCAGTAGGGTACCACGGGTGGCACCGACTCGCGATACTCCCGGGAGTCTTTGCTTGCGTCATCATCCTCCAATCGAAGATTCCAGACTCTTGCGTAGGCCTCGACGATTAATCGAACAACCGTTCGCGCTGCCGTGCACGTGCAAACTCTACCACCAAAGTCTACATTCAAATCGTGATCAGTGAAGAATCCCGAACAACGTGCATTTTATCCGAGCAAGGTAAAAATCACATAGAGGCAAAGCGCTTGTTCGCCCGGAAGATCCGCGGAGAATTGCAAGCAGGACAAGAGCTCCTCGGGCGATATTGTCGTAATAGTTTGCCAATGGGGTCCATATCGAGACCCTATATCTAGTCACAGAAGTGCATAGGATAGAGTGAGTCAAGCATGGGCGCCTAGAGATAAACGTCAGGCAAATGGGGCAGGCGGATGAAGGGCGCGCAGGAAGCCATCGCTACAAGTTGTGGTGGAACCCTGGCGTTCGAGTGCGCAAACGCGGGCTTTGGCTCATTGTTCTTGCTGCGACCCGTCACCGCGCGCATAAACCTCTTTATTCTGAGTGTGACACAAGCCCATGAGTCGCGAATACCGGGAGAGGGGGGGGACACATTTATATACCGCGTCTTGTAACTACGACAAAATGCGGTTGTCAACTACGGATCGTAGCCTACGGGTCATTTGGAGGTGTTGTATGATAGGAAGTATATGATATATCGTAGGAGGACTTGGCACTGAAGGGGCGCGTACAGTATTTACAGTACGTAGCGTATGAAGTAATGAGAAAATCCAAGGTAAAGCATAATGGACATGACGGGCACAGGAAAAAAGCATAAACTCAACGAAATCAGGGTGAGCTCGGATCTTAGGGTTCCTCGACGGGCTCGGGGAAGACTTGGCGAAAGCGCGCGAGGTGGCGATGAACTTGGCGAGGGCCTCAACCGACCACTACGGGTGCCGATGATGATTGCAGAGTATATGTTGGGCGAGACTGCGCGGAGGAAATGTCTGCCGCGTTCGTAAAGATGACAGTCTGCGAGGATGTGCTCGCGGGTTTGAATTGGCGCATCACCGCACGGGCATGCCTTTTTTTCGGTGGGGACGAGGTGCGCGTAATAGTCGCCGCGGAAGCCGTGGCCGGCGTACTTGCCAACGCCGATTTCCCGCTCGAGTGGAGCGACTCCATTGAGAAAAGGCGCTTGGTCATTGGTTTGACGCAGTGCAAGGGCGAGTGGCAGATACACCCTAAGCCCCCTGAAATCATCTGAACATCGGCCTAGAGAGAAAGACGCTCGGAGACTCACAAATGTTTTGGCAATCCTCGACAACTGCACTGACGGCTCATCCGCTTGCATTTCTTCCCAGTATTGGTGACGGGACCTACAGACTTCTCTCTGCGTCCTGCGATGACAAAGTCTCGCTACATATCCTTGCGGACGCGACGTCTGTCGTTGCCCGTCAGAAGATCGTGGCCTTCGTGGCATCGCTTAGACGGAACAGCAGCATCTGACGTCATTAGTCGAGCGGACAAGGGTCCCACTTGAACGTGTCCATCGGCAGGAAGCGGTGCAAGAGTCTTGAAGGGCAGCGATGTCGCGGAGGGGTGACCCGCAGTCCCTGAGATCGTGTTCACCATTGGGAAGACATGATGAGAGCAGATGGCGAACCTGCCGAGGAGTTGGAGCTCAATAACAGCTCGTTGCCTATGTACCCGTTGAGCTCTGGCGCGGCGGATCAGATGAAATGTCGTCCTCGGAAGTTCCTGGTGATGCAGAGACAGGCATGAGCAACGGGATGCATTATACGAACGAGAACTCGACGGACGAGCACTTACGAGGAGGGGGCGCCAGAGCAATGGGCATATAACGTGGTGCGGCTGAGTAACTCGACGTATACGGGTCGGAGGCGGGATCGGACCGTAGATTACGCATTCCAGTAGTCTCCCAACGTTTATAAAACCACCAGCACATTGACGATAACTGGAGGACGTCCTCGGAGTCGACTTCAGGAAGCTCGAGCCGATGTCGACGAAGTTCTTTCCCGACCCTATCTGAGAAATGTATATTACCTGCCAGAACGTAGTCCACAGCAATTTTGACACAAGCGGTTTCGTTTGTCACCTTGAGCGTCGTAAGGCACTGCAAATATGCTGGTGAAGAATGCTCGCCTGATGACCGACGCCTGCAGGGATAAAGACGGCTTCGCCCGGCTTCTGAGTCAAGGTCCAAACGTGCACGCCTTCTTCCCTCAAGAATGACACATCCTCATCGGTAAGTTCAATCTCCTGTGAGTGGATGGGATGTCCATGGAATGTACCCTTCTTGCGATCCCGAAGTAGAGTCTCCGTGAGGGCCATATCTTCGCGATCAATCATGATCCAAAAGGCTCCACACTGGCCAGCCCGACCTCCATCATCAGCGTAGAACATGATATTGATGGCGTCGGTCATGTCACAGTGCAGGCGCGTGGTTGTTCCGCCCGCTGCACCATACGCAAGGTAAGCCTTGGGACCTAGTTCGAGAATCAGATACGTGAAGTCTCCAAGCACTATGGAGTGAAGATAGAAACTCGCCCGTGTCCGGGGGGCATGAGCCTCTGGGCATACTGGTCTCCAAATTTAGGGCGCCTGTGCGCGATGTGATCAACGGTGCTACTATCACCTCCTCCCAGAGACTGAACATCTTCGGGAACTGTGTGGCAAAGTGGGAAGTCGGTGGCCAATCCTGAATGGCGTGTGAGGTCGAAGATCGCAAAGCCGCTTAGTCAATACCTGAAGTTTTTCGGGATCTGATGGAAGCTCGTCCGCGCCGATCTTCGACATAAAGGTAGCAAGCGAGACGATACGCCGAGCGCTAGTCTTTGTGTTCGTTACGGTCACCTTACACTCGCCGTAGTGCTCTATAAAGTATGCGGGCGTCAGGTTATCTCCGCCAGGATCTATACCCGCGACCACAACCGGAATACCGGCCGTGAGCGCGCAATATATATCAGAGTATGTAGGTATTCCCGCTGGGACAGCAAGATTATATCGCCGAACGTTTGATGGCGCATTTCGGTCGCGGCGAATAGAGGCTCTGCGTATACGATGAGAGACGCACGGTAACGAAATAAGGTATTGCATACGGCGGGGGAGTAGGTCGCAGATGCCTGAGCGCCGTTTCTAATTCGCCCGGTTGGAAAAACTCCACCAGTCGCATGTCATGCAAAGGCGGATTGGTGGTGCAAGGGATTCGTTCAACCTAGTGGAGAGGGATGAACGTGAGCGGGAGGCCGGTGCATTAGCACGCAGAGCATACCATCTCCTCGCTGACACACTCGTCGCAAGCTTCTAGGCCACAATTCAAGCAAAGGCGCGAACAACAAAACAGCGACATTCGGCAGATATCTGAAATATGTATATTAGATCGCTCACGGGCGGCGTATTAGAGGCGCGCACCGCATATGACCCTGTTCCCATCCAATTTGGGGGTTCTGTGCACCGGGTCTGTACAATTCTGTCGGAGAAGGCGGTGCTTTTCCAAGTACGGAAGTACTTCCCAAGCAGCGGCCCTCTAACTCAGTGCTTAGCCATGAACGAGGCCAGTTCTGAGCATAACTCACGAAGAGCTGATTCATAATCTCCCATGTCGCAGATGGGGAAACCGGGTCGTACTTTGCCTTGATGCTGGCGCGATGCTCATAGGGAATATACGCTATCAGCGAAACCTCGGGTTTGAGGGCGACCTTGAAGCTCCGGCGCTCGATGATATGCTTGTTGCGCTTATCTTCCTCTAGCATCATGAATTCAGCAACGAGAAAAATGTGACATCACGCATGACGGTCTCACTGAAGAATAGACAATCGCGACGTGGCGACTGAGAGCAGTGGAAGCATTCCGTTACGAGCGGAGCTATTGTAGCAAGCACAGACTCTCGGGGATAACGAGCGGTTCGGAATCGATAACATATTGAGCTCTGAGAAATGATGACATGCTCCATGAGTATCGGACAGGCCGCCTATGGAGCAGGTGATGGCAGAGGACGAGCCGCCTCTCCAGCATCCGGCGTGGAGTGATGTCAATGTCGTTACGACAGTGACACTGCTTCTCGGATCGTGCTTCGACGGTTCCTTCCGAGCGTTACCGATCACCCTTCACTTGCCTCTGAACCATCACGTACCCTCGTTCGTGTGGATTTGCGCTCTCCATCTTTACCCCTCAATACACTTACGACTCTCACAGTGCACAATGAGCGCGACGAGCGGGGTAGTGCTCCTTAGTGCCGCCGAGCAGCGCCGGTTGCAGCGCGATAATGCACAACTTCAGCACTCGAAAAACGTCCTCAAGCGGGATATGAAGTCGATGAAGGAAGAACACGAGGCCTTCGTACGGAGACTCATTCGCATCGGACGTGAAGAACATCATGCAGTGATGGTGCAGGCAGAGAGTGATGTCGCGCGGATCACGGATGAGCATGAGGAGCTAGTGGAACAGCTGAGAGCGGTGCGTAGCACAATTACCCCGATTCCAAGTAGTCTTATCGGATTCACAGGAACTTCGAGAGGAGCGGATGGCTCGGGAGCGTCAGCAACGCGAGAATGAACGCCTGCGTGCGACCGAAGAGCGGATGAAAAAAGAATTGAACCAGCTCAAATCATCCAAAGCTACTCGCCGCAGCGGCACCGCTGCCTCTTGAGGCGGACAGAGATATAACTTGCAACACCCTGGATGTATTGAAAGTGGTGAGATATTGGCTATGGGTGACTTGACAGATCTCTGCGACAATGATGTCCTGATCTATAAGCACACCACCTTCTATCGTCGCATCCGTCTATTCCTACACTATAACCCCTGCTAGCACGCACATGTTACGCTCGCTCTCCTTCTGCCTTCGTATCGCTTTGCGTACTTGAGTCTGTGTACTTACGATTGACGTATCATACCTTGCTCGACTTTTGGCCATTAAGAGCTTGTCGTCAAGAGCTCTCGCTGCTGGATCCCACTTCGGTTAGAGGGCCGACGGGTCTCGCGTTCGGTAGTCATCAATATGCGACTTCACAGTGGTGCCAGCGGCACCGCGAGACATGAACGTGCCACCCGGCAACTCGATGTCATCCTGCGCGTTGCGTACGCAATCGCCAGTCTTGGATATTTCACGCTTTCGGTTTTTTGAACTACTTCGTGACTTCGGGGCGTAGGTATCTCGTCTTGAGGGCAGTATTGAAGCCCGCCAGGTCTTCATGGCATCGAACTCGTCCGGATCTTTCCATGCGAGCGAATCAGCGTGTGGTGCCACACGCACACAACATACTTCCTGTTCATACTTACCTAAACGGAAAATCCGGACCACCTCAAAGTGAGGCAATCGCGTGTATCGAAAGCGTGAGTAGGCGCGCCAGGCTCGCCGCGTTTCCGAGACCTCGCTTACAGATGCGCCACGACCTGTTCTGATTTGGGATATTGGGGCACGATGGCGCCAAGCTCAACGAGTTCGTCGACGGGGTAGCGAAACTCACTGCGGAGGGCGAACCCGTCGAGTGTACTGTCCCCATGTTTTTCGCGCGAAGCCACGACTGGGCCTATTGGCCGCCCACCAGGAATATGCGGCGCACCTCAAGGCTAATTGGCAAGAAGACTGGCGCTTGTTGCCGCTGGGCGCCGACGCGGCATCGGACTCATCGCGCAGGGGAAGTACGATACTCTCCCAGCTGCACTCCGGACGTACGCCGCTCAACGTCCAACCCTCATCTTCTCCGTATCAACCGCGCTGCATCACCACTATGTGATGCATGCGAGGAGGCCCTGAGACAGAGTCCCACTTCATGTACGACTGCCTGGCGCGGCAAGGCGAGCGACGTGAAGGCTGCCGCGAGCAAAGAGCGTTTCTCAAGATGGACGTGAATGTGCTTATGGAATATGTGCATGAGAAGGGTAGGGGAAGAGGGGGACAAGACGATGACGGTACTCTACCGTAGGATGGTTTGCTCAAGGAACACGGGGGCGAGGGTAGGAACGCTAGCGAGGATACCGCTGGGCCGAGGAGGCATGGCAATGGAACGGGGAAGCAGGAGGTCTAAAATGACAACCAGGTACATGCCAGCAAATAAAAGTACTGGATCTGGACATATTATAGGTAAAGTGTCAGTGAGCTAGCCAGCAGCACTTGAGCGACTGGAGTGGGGAGATGAGGGCGCTGAAGGCGCAACTCACATTCGAGTTCCGGAAATCAGCGGAATACCGAGGTAATAGAACGCGAAAAGTATGCGTACCGCTTCCAAGCCCTCGTGAAAGCCTAAAAATAATGCGCTAGGAGGTTTAAGATACGTATCGAGATCCACATACATTGCAGGAGACGTCCGGAGTATACGACCGTCCATGAGACAGACAATCGGTACTCATCGTGCGTTCGGTTCTTCGGCGGCTTACGCCCACTGTGTATTTGATGCGGTACCAATGCTTCCCGGCTCATGACTAAGAAACGTCTTGGGGATGATCTGGGTAGTCCATGCGATCTCCGCACCTAACTTAAGCTTCACCACAATCCTGTCCACCTTGAACCACGAACAGATGCGAGCTGCGACGAATGCCTCCTATGCTGATCGCAATGCATACTACTCAACACTGGGCGAGGAAGGCGGTAAGAGAGGGTGCTACCTAAGATCTCCGAGCCCGACGAGGAGGATGAGATAGGTCGAGAACCCCTCAGAACAGCAGTAGCGCATAGTACAGCGTCGAGTGTCATTGTAGCGTCGAAACCACATGAGATGATCTATAAAAGAGCTTCTATGAGTGAAGATTCCTTTCGTACAGCATGCATTGCTCTGCGTGACCAGGTCCACATACCAAAGGTCAATGCATTGTCTATATTGCGTTGTTCTCCCTGAAGGGAGAAAGTATTACATATGCAGGCGAAGACCTCCGCGTCGCACGCAATCAGAAGCGCGAGTGCCTTTGCGTCGACCAATCGGAGGAATCGGAGGAACATCGGAGGGGGGTGCATTGTTCACGCCTGAAGGACCGCCATCTGGGTGTACTGTGGCATCGACGCTTCAGCCGGCCCCTTGAGCGAGATCTTGTCTAAGGAAGATATTTGTGGTACCAGCTACAGAAAGCGCAGTTACGGCTACAATCGCGTGTAAGAGAGGTTGCGCGCCTAGTGTCGTACCGGGCGCGGGTTTAATCGTAACCACCAGCGGACTCATCGGCGATCGAGCCATGTTGAGCGCCTTGATCGACCTCTTGATACGCATTAACCTCCGCGCCGGTGTCCTATTAAACATTGCGTGCGACAGGTCGATACGCCGGGGCAGTCTCTTCGGCTGGTACGACCACTGGAGGCTGAGCATGAGCCGTCATTTCGTGTTGAGATACGTACTCGCCCAAAGTATCGAACGCCCTCACCACGATCGGACGACTCGGGTGGGTCGTAAGTTCGTTCTGTTGCATAAGGTAGGTAGCGTCGTGGTTTACAGACAAAGCAATCGCAGCAGTGTCAGTCGCCTGGGTGATGATCGCGGCGTGAGATCACTCACTGACAGATTCTCCGGATCAACAGCCTGTTCTCCTACACCAAGTCCCACTGAAAAAAAGATCATCACCCGCATCGCAAGCTTCAACCCCTTTTCCTATTCAGATCTTTTTTGCGCAATCTTCCGTGATACATCCAAAGGGTGTAGTTCCCCGCTTCGCACAAATGGCGCTGCCGCCGCCGATTGCAGGAAGACCTTGGTAGGCAATGTTCTGGTGTGCGAAGGAACGTTCAGCACAGGGTGTTATAGACAGAAGCAGACCCACTTACCAGAGTTGCAGTGTCACCAGAAAGTATGGGTTGTCTGCTGCCGGCAGATCATCCTGCGCTCTCCTGTGCCCTCCCGCACATCCTTACTGTCGTCTAGATCGCGCTCTGTATTCGCATAGATGGTAAAGAACGTATCTGTATGAGCCTTGCTCTCGAAGGGGAATCGGGGTGAGCGGGGAGGCCCTGTTGTGGCGGAGAAGGCTGTTTCGATAACACTGACCAACCGTGACAGCGTGCGTTCGGTCTGACCCAACTGTGAGATGATGACCAGAACGCATGCCTACCGAGTAGCATCCCCTTGGCCATAACATAGACGGATCAGTTCACGATATGGGCAAGGCTTGTATAAGATCCTGACTCACAACTGGGTAGACACTATCGCGCTCAGGGGGGGGGGGG